GTGAGGCCTCGCAGGTCGCTTAAAACCTATTTCCCTGTAATTCAGCATGAAATATTTGGAAACGTACTAATCCTGACCAGAATATCAAACGTGGTTCTGTGTTTGACATGACTAGTGTAACAGAGAATCAGCAGTGGGGACAGGTGCGGTGTAAGGGACAGGTACATATGGAGCTGACCTACTTCACCCCTATTCACCCGCCCGCACTCTCAGGTCAAACGTTTTAGGTCTTCTGTCTGTCCCACGCACACACGCTTTAAGACCCGTGGTGACGGAGCTTTTGAGGCAGTAGCACCGAGGCTGTGGAATGCTCTGCCTGCACCTCTACGCCTCCCAGATTCTGTGAACACTTTTACAAACCAGCTTAAAACGCACCTTTTTAGACTGGCGTTTGGGTAAAACCCGTGTCCTAGACCTGCTTTTAAACTATGTTTTCATTTTGTGTTTGTAAGTTATTGGCCCTATGGTCACATTGTGTTTTTTATGCTTGTAATTTCTGCTCTGTTAAGCACTTTGTGACTTTTGTCTGAGTAAAGCGCTTTATAAATACATTTTACTTACTTACTTACTAAGAGGAACGCTCTTACTGGCAGAACAGATTTGATCAGTTGAATATTATTTTATGCTACGTTGTACTTCTACCTCACTGCAAGTCAGAGGGAAATACTGTACTTTCTACTCCTGCAGCCTTGCAGATCATATTTTTACATGCAAAGCTATTAATAGTTTAAAAATATGATTCACTCTTCTACCCAACAGAATATAAAGTAGTGAAAATATCTCCACTTTGACCAAATACAACATTAATATACTAATATAATATTGGGTACTTATTATAATAGCTTATAACACTGTGCTTTTCTCACTGCAACATTTTCAACACATCTGCTGTGAAACAAAGCATATTGTGTGTGCAGTGGGAGTTTAGAGAGTGTCAGAGATTTTAAACTGTGTTCGGTGCGTGTGCAGCTGATGAACCACCAGTGTTACATGTAGTCTGATCACGGAGAAAAGGATGAACCTGTGGAGGTAAAGCCATGTGCATTCTCACTGATGCTCCACAGCAATCAGAAAAAGATATAAACCCCATCGAACATGGTGATTAGTTAAATACTTAACTGATGCATAAACTGATCAGAATAATTTAGTTGCAGCAGTAATATGAATACATTTGAAATTGGCTGGAGGGTTGCAGTCTCTTCGCCCAGCACCTGCTCACATCCAACCCCCCAAAACTCCACCACCACCATGTTAGTAATGCTTTAATTGAATCTCCCACTGGCAGGATATGAAGGGCCGGAGAGTCCTCTCCTATCTGGGGAGTCCTGCCCCGCTATACATCACATTGTCTCTACAGGTGACTGCCGTCCTGCTGCCTGGGAAGTGAAAGAGGAAACTGAGGCCATTCTTCAATGCAAATTTGGTATTGACATGAATGTTGTGCTCAGGGGTGCTTCCAGGATTTTCTCCCTCTTTTGTAAATTCATTTGTATTTCAGCTGGAATATCCTTCCCAGTGACAGTCAATAGACTGAGTATTGTTCTTTGAAGAAGAGGAGAAGCCCTCGGGCTAAATGCCTCTTTATTCCTCTCTCAGCAGTTTCCTTTGTGATGCGTCAGGTAGGGGTTCTACCATAAGACTGAGATTTAAAAGGAATTTAACCCCTAACCCTGTTAAGTGTAAGGGGTTCAGTATAGTTCTGTTTTTGTTTAGATTGTTTTTTTGGGGTATTTTGGCATTTATTTGACAGCTGACAGTGTAGCGGCTAACATTTGTTTGAACCAAACACA